TCAGAATTCAAAATTTGGGCGGGAAAATCTCTCGTCCTTTCGCCGACTGACACCTGTAGCAGGCCGTCGCCCGTTACTGTGCGACACCTGTCACAGGTAACACGTGACCAGTCACGTGCCACCTGTGAGGGGCAAATGATTAGGGGATTTTGCTCCCACCAATCGGAATGCGCCACGTGGACCAATTAGGTCCTGCCAAGTGTCCCCTGGTTGGAACTATCAGGGCTTGCCACGTGGCACGCGCTTATTCGTCCACCTTGGACCTGTTATGTCACGACATATGGCATACTCCATGCCTAATGGAGAAACCGGCCACCCAGGCCCAATTTCCGAGGGAAGCCCAATCGGCCCTAGGTTTACCTAAACCTAGGATGGGCACGTTTCCCAAGGTTATAAATACCTCCCTTAATCCTCATTAAGGACGAGGAGAAGGAGATTACGAAAAAACATTACGGAACAAACACATTAATTACACACAGTAATAACCGGCTGATCTCGCTAACAAAGCAGATTACCTACATTAAACACTCTCACCTAGAGAGACCTTATTACTTTAATTTCCGCATTAATTACTCCTTAATCAGGTACTAACTTGACCGTTGGAGGCGGAGCTCACAGGAGTCTCCGTTATTTTGCAGGTACAGGCGTCCGGTTCCAGTCTCGGAATTGTAACTCTCCCGCAGGACATCAGAAAACCCCAAAACAGGTATATCAAACATATAATCCAAGAATTGCATGTCATTATTAATGAAGGTTTAAAGATTTAAAAAATTTCGTTAAAAATGAAAACCCCGTCGAAAAAACCACTTTCTAGGTGGATTTTGGCTTCTGGAAGGCCATTTGTAATCACAAAGTGGGTAAAGTCTGATTTAGAACATCAAGTCCACCCAAAATTCACTATTTTTTAAGTCAAAATCGGAGTTCGTAATCCAAAATTAGCATAAATACGATTTTAATCCAATTAAAAACGAGCTCCTAACCTAATTAGGATGCTAAACCAGAAATTTAAATCCATATTAAATCACCTTAATTAATTTTTAGTTGTAAAAATTAAATGATAGAGGCTCTTATACCGCTGTTGGATTTTGCGGTGTCTGACACCGCGCGGAAACAAAACTCAATAACCGGATCGCATGAATAATAATTACAACATAAATAAAAGCATGCAAATAAACATAAACATAAAAGAAGAGAGAGAAAGAATGCTCACCCTTGAAGCGGGCTTTGCTCAACCGTTGAGCTCGGACTTGAAAGCTTTAAGTTCCGCAAATGCGAGAACCTCCGACGGCTCATACCCTTGCTACCAAACCTTAACCGGTCCTACCCCGAAGCTTAGTCAGGGCTAGACCAGAAACAACTTAGAGTTTACAAGCAAAGGTTTTCTCGGTTTTGGAGATCCCTTAAAGTTCACCGACTCAAGTGAAATTCCTAATACCCAATGATGGGTATTTATAAGGAAATATCCCCAATAATTTCCATCATTTTTCAATGTGGGATAGTTGGTAAAAGGCAAAAAATAAGATTTAATTTAATTCCAAATTAAATTAAAAAACAAAACAATCATCAAACGTCAAGTGGCAGAAGGAGAGCAAGAGAGTGGATGAGGACCACAAAAGGAAAGGACCACCTTCCCTTGCTCCCCAAGCATTGCCGGAACCAACCGTGTGGCGTCAGCTAGCACCCAGCCTTGGGCACCAAGGCACGCCTTGCTGGCGACCTGGTGTTTGGCTAGGCCTGCCAGCCAGCCCGCATACGCACACAGCCCAGCCTGCAAGCCTCGCACGAAATGTGGGCTGCTACGCTGTGTGCTGCTGCTGTAAGGGAGGTTTGGCACGCCTTACATGCTGCTGGCCTTGCTGGTGCACCTCCCCGCATTCATGCTTGCCATGCTGGCGAGCCATGCCCGCATGGCTGCTCGGCCAGCTCGCCCAGCCAGTGCATGCGATGCAAATTGGGCTTGCGACCAAGCCTTGCCTTACGGCAAGGAGCCCGGCTAGCCATGCTAGCCTACCTAGCCCTCGATTGGCTAGGCCACATTGAGGCTAGGATTTTCACCCGCGTTGACTTATTGTTTGACTAACTTTTTCGTCTCGTCAACTCATAAATTCGACTTGACTTTCAACGCTCGCCTCGACGCTCTGAGCTCGGTATCCGACGTCTTAGTTCGTAAAATCTCTATTGACTCATTTAATCCCATGGAGTAATTCGTCACTTCGGTTCGGTTTCACGATTGGGTGTGAACCGAAGGGTTCAGTCAAGATTAAGCTGTAATATTAATTATTCATTAATATTATTGATCCGAAGCAGCCTCCAGCTAGGCATTCCGATCACTTAACCTTACTGAATAATTAACTTTCTAATTAATTCCTAACCTTCTATCGGAATAATACACTTGATCGAAGGACACCGTTCCATTCAAAAATCAAGTAAGTAATCCCCCAAACTTTGAATAAGCTACCCCCCCCCCCAAGCTCAAATCCTAACATCAAGTAGGCATAAGAATGAATACCAAAGTAAAAACAAGCAGGTAAAAGTGGGGTAGCTAGGAAGGAATCACTCGGCACTTTGGTAATGGGTAGAATGTGTACTCCCCTCATCGGCCTCCGAAATCAAACGACTAGAGCTAACAAATCGAGTAACCCAAATTTTTCGCTAGGCAGCGAACATCCTTGTCAATTTCTAACTTTGTTGTTGTTTCTTGATCATAGAATCTTGTGGACTTAAGCTTCCTTTTCAATATTAGAACAAATAGATCCTAATACTCCCTCTTTGTTAATTCAATACCATAGGTCTTAACCACCTCGGGAGGAGGTGGAACTATTTGCCGTGTGGGGGGTGCATTACTAGAGGTGCGAGCCCCTTAGTGCGGCGTATCGGGGCCACCTACTAGAAATAAGGGCAAGCATAAGAAATTCATCATGAATAGGAGATAAGCCAATCAAATGTATTTGAAATAAAGTAAGCACCAAAGTATCATTATTTATAGCATAAGAAATTCAAGCACAAGAATGACCCCAATATTGATGAACAAGAATTAGCTTAATGAACTCATGCCATGACTAGTGTAGTAGCAACAAAGGAAGTTACAATAAGAACTAAGAAGCATCCAAAACAAAAATCAATGGCAAAAGTTAACAATAGAGAAGCAAAAATTCATGAACATCATGGTCTAAATGACAATGTAATGAAACACAAAGAAATAATGATACTAAGAACAGTACCCATGAAAAAGAAAGGTAACTAACAAATGGTGGTGTCAAATGTTCAAGCAAATAATCAATTCCAAGATAAAAAGGCTTCAAATCAACATCAAATAGCATCATAGAACACAAAATATGAGCAAAAAGAACTAACAATGGAATCTACCATTAAAGCCTACCTAGGGTTTCAAGTTCTCAAATGAAGAAGAAGATGAACAAAAGAGTAGAAATCATACCTCAATGGAGAATAAAAACCTAAAAAAATGGATGAAATAATGAAATTAAAGCAAAATAAAACACCCAAATGCAAGCTCTTATGCCAAATTCAAAATATCCAAATCTCATGAACAAATAAGAATTTTGAAAATTTGGGCAACAATTCAAAAATTTTGAACATGAAATCAAAAATTTAGATGAAAATTTGTGTATAAACAATGCTAAGAATATTAATTTCAGTGAGGAAATTGAAGAAATTAAAATGGAGAAATAAGGAAATTGAGGGAAAATAGAGGAGAGAGAGATAGGGTCAAAGAGAGAGAAGGAGAAATGAGGGGGAGGGGGGAAAAACAACGGCATAGCAACAGCACGCAGCACGCAAGCCTATCCTACTGTGCGTGCTTGCAGACCCTACTATGCGTGCATGCGGCGGGCTGGAATGCTTGGCCGGGGTGTGCTTGCGGAGGGTGAGCAGCGAGGGTGCTGCGGGGGTGGCCGAGTGATGCAGTCAGGCTTAATAGCGCTCTCGACTACAGGGCTCATGTGCCTATGAGCAAGGCAGCCCAGAATTCTCAAAATTTGCTTGTTCATCATCAAAATCATCAGAGGGCAACCATGAGAGCGTCCCTGCTCAACCATCAATTCTCAACTTCTAACTCAAATTGCAAGCACTCAAAACCTTCAAATGACACCAAAATTGTTAGATATCGAAATCCAATCAATCCCATTGTACCTAAAGTTACGAAAATAAAGAAAATTAAGGAAATAAACCAAAAATGCAAAAGAAAGAAAAGGAAAAAAAAATAGGAAAATCGGGATGCCTCCCGGGAAGCGCTTATTTAACATCAAAAGCTTGACGTTTCCTCCAACTCACGGAGGGTCAAAGAAAACCACCTTATCCAAAGTGGTAGAGAGAAACAAAATTATTTCCAAGCCTAGGCAAAAACTCATCACAAGATTCATTATGGTGAGACAATAGAGTCGAATCAAGGATATTGGTCTTCAATTTCTTCTTTTGCTTCTTTGAACTTCTTTTCTTTTTTCTTAATTTCTTCTTCCATGGAGTGAGCGACTTCACATCATCAACATTTGGAGAACCATGCTCATCATCCTTCAACGAAAGCTCAAACCATAAAGGTATTTCAAGCTCGTCCTCGTCCTCAAGCTTTGAAGGCTCCTTGACATCATTACTAACCAACTTGCTTTCGACACTTGTAGGAACATCATCACAAGCTACAAGAATGTCGTTAGTAGAAGACACAAACATGTAAGCATTGTCACTCAAAGGAACACTAGTAGAAAAACTTAAATGAGCACCGCAAAATGCGCACCGGTTTTTAAAAACTGGTGCGAAAAAAAATAGGCGGGTTGAGGGAAAGGTGAATTCGCACCGGTTCAAACCAAACCAGTGCGAAATAATGTTATTAGCATCGGTTCAAACCAAACCGGTGCCAATTGTAATAAAAAAAAAAAAGACCCTTTTCCTTCTTTTTCTTTCCCCTCTTCTTTCTTTCTGTTTCCGCATAGTCTCATTTTATCTCTCTCTTCTCTCTCCTCTCTCCTCTCTCCTCAAACAACCCTAATCAACAAAGATGCAGCAGCAAACCAAGCTTGGATGGGGCAAAGTAGATGAAGATAAGAGAAGAGAGAAATAGGGAGACGATTAATGCTCATCTTCTACCTCTTCTGGTACGCTGCCATCGCCGTTCAACTCACCATCTCATGACTCAATCGGTTTCTCGTGAAATCGCTTAGAAATGCTTCTTGGGAGCTTGGTATTTAGGTATTTCTCGCTTTCTCTTCTAGATCAATCGTTTTTTTCTTTAATTTTTGCAATTTCATGTTGTTCTAGATCTACACTTAAATTCTCGGTTTTTATTTTGATTATAATTGTTGATCCTTTCCAATTAGGGTTTTTTTGTAAATTTTCAGAAATTGCATATCCGAAGATGAATGACACCGATGTCCAGAAGCATATCCAATAGATGGTTAGATTCATCCGCCAAGAAGCGAAGGAAAAGGCTAACAAGATCTCTGTTGCCGCCAAAGAAGTAAGCGCATTGCTTGATTATTTTTTTATTTTTGTTGATTTTGAATTGCTGCTTACTTCGCAGGAAAATGTAATTTATCTGTTGTTTATCGATTGAATTGCTGCTTACTTCGTTGCTTAATTTCATGCTGATTACTGTTAATTGTGATTATGTTGTCGCTGAACTTTGATTTTTATGATGTGATTGAAAGCATTGACTATGATTGATACGTTACTTTGTTTGTTGTGGAAGTTTAATGTAATGACTAATAGCTGTGAGTGCATGATTTGGTTAGGAATGAGTGCATGTTTATTTGGTTAGGAATGAATGCATGATTTGTGAATGCAATTGCTCTTTATTTGGACATTGGTATTTGTTGTTTCTGAAGTTGGATGGCTTTTTTTTTTCTGCTCGCAGGGGCATACTGCTAGAAAGGTTTTGAAGCATGGTCTTCAACCAGGGGAACTAGCCCTCATTTCTAAAGAAACGGTATGCTGAACTCTCGATGTTTGTTTATTTTTTTATGCTTGTATACTTTACATTGTCATTTAATCCAAGTTGCTCTTAATATTCATCACTTCTTGTTTTAAAATCTCTTAAGCAAGTTATCATGAATCGTGTTATCGGAAAATATTAGCTATTGTGAGCTGTACTTGTTTGCTAAACTTTTATGCTGAAAGTCGATGTACTTTAGTTGTTGTGGGTGGGTGAGGCCAGCTTGTTATTGGAAGTGCTTCTGACTCTTATTGCAGTTCCTGCTGTAGCCTGCATGATACTACATTTTAGCTGTGCAATCTTTTTTTCCCTGTGTTTACTCCTGCAAATTCAGCTTTTGAGAAAGACCTAATTATACATCTTTCTATCCAGGTGGCTCCTTATGAATGCGCTGCTCTCAGCAAGGCTTACCTCTTTCCAAAAGGTGAGTAGATAAATTCAGTATATAACAATTTTATAATAATTTCAACTATATGTTATTTTTGCTGATAAGTCAGTCCAGTTTAAGTTATTGCTCGAGTTGAAGCTCTATCTATTGACTATCGGTGTTAATCTTGGATAATGCACTTTCACTAGATCATAAGGTATCCACATTGACACTTTGATGCATCTATTAAGCAATTGCTGATTTTTCACTACCTAGCACTAGCTAAGTTTGATTAATGGATTTACTTTGTTATATGACTGTTGTCACAAATTTTCTGGATATGCTATTGACAATGTGAATTGGGTTTTACAAGTACTGCTACACTTCCTTGGTTCCATACATGTGTTAAAAGTGGAGGGGAGCGACTTCTTCCTAAGTGGTATACTGAAAAAGGTATTGCAGCTTCTTCCTAGAGTCTGTATATTGGTTTCATAATATAAGTATGAATGGTATTATAATTTTCATTCTCTATTAAATGAGTTAATAATACCGTGGATTGATATGTATCTCTTAGTCAGGCTGGTTTAATTGCTGCCAATGTTGTTCTTAAAAGGATGGCTCTACCTGACCCGACTCCAGAAGTCTCTTTTTATCTCTCTCTTCTTTCTTTCTGTTTCCTTAGTCTTGTTTATCTCTCTCTTCTCTCTCCTCTCTCCTCAACTAGATCTCTCTCTTCTCTCTTCTATCTCTCTCCTTTCTCCACCACCACCGTCCATTCCACCCCGCCACACTGGTCTATTTCTTCGCCGGACTTATGGATGCCCTTATGTTAATTATGGTCCCTCTGATTTGCATCACAAATTAGAAAACTATATAATCAATTCTTGGCTAGTTGTAGGAAACCTACCATTCTGTAATGCAAAATGCTATTTCCCTTCTTCATTCTCCCATGCTTCAAATAATTTCATCATAAAGATGCAGAATTCTGCATCTGCAGCGAAGTTTGTTTAGTATGATGCACTCTTTCTGCGGTCCCATAAAATTTACCACTATTTCAGACTAAAATCAGATAAACTTACTCAATTGCCTATGCTCTTATTTTTTACACCAGGATTTTTTTTATGTCTAATTGATTCACTTGATATTATCCTAATATTGTCATGCTCAATCATTAAAAAGCCTAAATGATTCTATAAGAAATTTATTAATCTTAGACCTCATTTCTAAGATTCGACTAAAAAAAGGAACTGTAGCATTGACTCCTCTTCACCAAACTATTTTCCCTGTCTGTCATTCAAAAGGGGAGAAAAAAAGGTTAATTGAGATTTCATTATTTTTATTGTAGACTAACTCCATGAGATATGCATCCAATCATATATGGTCTCTTTTACCAAATGCTTCTTAAATTTCAGGTGTTAGTGTATCATGATCTTCTGG